GTTGGATGACAGCAGAATCACATCTAGGGTTGCCAGGTCTCAGGGTGCCAGCTGAAGTTTCAGGCAATTGCTAGGCCTCCCAGGATATCCAGGTGGCAAGACAAATCTCAGGGCAAGTGGTGCTGGAGGAAAAGAAAGTCTGGTTTTATTGTGGGGTGGTGGCATTGAATCTCAATGGGCACCAGGATGCACTGGTGCTTGTGTGTTGCACAGAGGTTTTTAGAGAGCAATTCAAGAACTCCATACTCTCTCTCTCTTCTTGCCTCCTGTGTGCACACATAAACAATTTTGTCGGTGTTACACAGGGACCTGCACCATCACCTCAGGCTTTGGTCCTGAAATCTTCAGAGGAACCTGGCAACCATAATTGTATCCGTTTTGCCTGAGTAACAAAATGTCTTGGATTGGTTGACTTCAAATGTTCCTTTGCTGAGTGCTATTTTAATGGCACATAATTCTCCACTGCAACTTACCACCTAGCTATAAGAGCAACTGTATTTAGACATGCAAGAACAGGTGATATCTTTTTGGACCACTAAAAAATAATAATCATGCAATCTGCTAGCTTTCGTGGATCAGAACCACTTCATCAGGCATGTACCATTGTGAAGAATATAAAGTCCAAAAGTTCTTGGCAAGATGGATTTCTCTGGCCATGCCCTTCTTAGATGTTAGTCAGGAAAGATGCAGGCTGCGTTACAGCTGTTCTTTTAAAGTTACAGCTGAAACAGCTATGGATTGGGTATCCACACCCCTGTTTTTCAAAGAGGCACAGGCCATGCACACACACACACCTTCCTCTTTGGCCTTTCTTGGAAAAGGATGTGTTTCTGCTTGGCTGGTGTGTGTGTGTGTGAGACACCGAAAACATAAGTCTTCTATCTGCGAAATGGGATGATAATTTAGTAAATGCACTAGATTTGGCCAATTGGGGTCAGATTAAAGTTAAAACAACATTACCTAGTGGTTACAGTCCTGCTCCACTGATGTTGAGAGTCCATGTCTCTTCTTATTGGTATGGGTAGGGAGCGCTATTTCTTGGTATCTTTGTAATTTTGCCACTTTTTAAATGTTTGGACTTTATATCTAAGGGTAACTTTCCTGGCAAAATCCATCTTGCCATGAACTTTTGGACATTCTTCACACTGGTAGACGCCTGATAAAGTGGTTCCGAAAGCTTACAGATTCTATGATAATTTTTAGTTATCTATAAAGGTATTGTAACGGCCTCCCTCTACCTCACAAAGGGGGTCACTACGTCACTCTCAATCACTCTTCTTTTCCACTGCCACCAACCATTCCTTCAAATAAGTAGCTTCAGGCCAAAATATGATTCAAAATAAAAACTCAGGTTTATTGGGTACAAATAAAAGGAATGGTAAATCACTTCTAATAAATAATAAGTCAATCACTATGATCAAGGCACTAGCATACACAGACTCTCACACTATAACACAGATCTCCTAACTCCTATCCAAGCCCTATCTGTCCCTATCTGTCCCTATTTCCACTCTCTCACACACATTCACTCACATTTATACCACAGCTCCACCCCTTATGTCCCACCCTCCGTCACACTATTGGTAGATGACTCACAGCTTTAGCAGTGACGGACAGGTGAGGTCATAGCTGTATGTAACAGGTATCACCTAATCTTACATTTGTATTTTGTAAGTATTTTTATTTTAATGGAATTATGAAGATATGGAAAAATAGCCACACACACCCCAGTAACAACAAGATACAGGGCCTAAATCTAGTTGTAAATCCCAACTACAGTAGAGTCATTGAATTAATAGGATTTATTTAAGGGTTGATTCAGCATTTGATTCAATAGGTCTATATTCTTAGGATTAGCAGCTGGATTTAGGATCATGACTGTTATTTATTGCTTCGTTTCCCCCCCTCCAACCGTGACCCAATTTATCCCTGTTATTCTAGGATATATATGTTATATGCATCAATGACTAGGTCTCTCTGCCACAAACCACTCACCTCTAGATTTTGGCTATTGCCAAACTCTTTGATAAGGTGTAAACTAATGAGGATAAAAGGGTAAATGAAAATATTTGCTATTTCTGGGGTTAGATCAAACTGTTATACAATGGAAGTTTATCAAGTTAAATTTAAGAAATTTACTTTTGCAGAAGTAGAATTAGAGCCACTGAAAGGAATGACAACAAAGAAACAAAAGCCCTTCAGGGTTCATTTTGTTAATGAAAGCATTACATTTAGACACTGCCTTTCCATATAGTCTGTATATCTAAAGAAAAGAACAAGCTTCCTGTAATAATCTTGCCCATGTCCTCAGAAGTTCTCAGTATCTTCGCCTCTGATATTAAAAAGCCTAAATTTCCCCGTGACTTACACTGTGTGATCCAAGCCATTGCAATGTGATTGCATGTTGTCTAAGTCAGAGCCGACTTTAGTCTAAAGCCCTGAGCTTATTGACTCTTTCAAACATCTTGGAAGAAGATTACACCCATGTAATAACATACAATCCTTCTGCAATCCTGGAGGGGGGGGGAATAGGAGTCTCTTGGAGATGGTTATTTTGAGTTGATTCAGACAAGCCACCTTTGAATCCACATATAATTCAGAAATTAAATGTTATCTCTGTGGCTCAAAAAAAAAAAAAAAGCTTCAACCCCTGG